ACCTCCGCCCCCATGGCCCCCACAGTTACCTCCGCCCCCATGGCCTGCACTGCCCCCACCGCCCCCACCGCCATGGAATCTTTTTCATTTATTTTTAATTTTTCTTTAGCCCGTGTGCCACTTTGTTGCCCAGTGTGGCACTGATCTCTTGGATCAGTAGTTGTCTTGCCTGAGCCTCTCAAGGAACTGGGGTTATAGGCATGTACCACTGATTCTAGATTGAACCGGCTTTTTTCCTTTTACACTACTTTCCACGTAATATCAAGTCGAAACACTGGGTTAGAGGTTCGACATATATTAACCCCAGTCCCACCAGATCTAACGCCCTCTTCTGGCTTGCAGTGGGCACCAGACTTGCATAAGTTGCACAGACATACATGCAGGCTAAACACTCATACACACCAAATAATAAAATAAATCTTAAAAAAAAAAAAAAAAGGAATCCTGGGTTAGTGCCTGTTGGTGGAAACATGACTGAGATATAGTTGACATTAGAAGCAAACCAGTTAGCTAATATCCACAGTGTTGGACTTCCAGTAAAATGAAGGCTTTTACAATGAGTAGATTCCGACCCGTGCAGGGTGTGCGCAGTTGTTACGTGGCTGAATTACTGATGGTTTCAGCAGACTTCCCGGATTCTGTTTTGTTTTCTTCCCTTCAGGTTTATACAACCTCCTACCCGAGTTTACAGCAGGAGAAGGTGCTCAAGTTTGTCCTGGTTGGGGAACTCCTGATTCAGGTAGAGCGCTTGAGGCTGAGATACCAGCGAATGCTGAGGGACCAGGAGAAGGAGGACCCTAAGCCAGGGGACGAGGACTTCTCCCCAGAGCCCCACCTACTGTTGGGGGAATTTTTCACGGACGCCGAAAAGGCCAGGATAGAAAATTCTCCCCGACCCTTCTGTGAAGGAGAGAAGTTTTGCATACCCCTGCGGAGATTGCTCGCGTATCCCAAGCTGCACCGCTTGTGCGTGGAAGAAGAGAGGATGCGGTCCCTCATCGCTGACTCGGTCTGCTTGAGCAGGGATGGCTCCGCAGTGGTCGTTGACCTGCATAATTCCTGGGATTACCGGTCTGAAGATAACTGAGCCATCCGAATGTCCCTGAAGCTCAGAGGCTCGCTGATACCTAAGTTGGCTTAGAATTCAAACTGGTTTTGGTTTCGTGGTGCTGGGAATTGAACGAAGGGAGGGGCCTCGTGCATGGTGAGCAAGCACTCTGCCACTCAGCGATTCCCTCAGCCCTATGACTTAAACTTTGTACAGTCCTAATTCAAGTAATATTTTGCAAGTTTTTAACACAAATTGGGTCCTGAACTCATTGACAGATCTGTCTGACATAGACTGCTCTTCGCCCAAGAAAGGGCTTAACTAAAAGTTGTTGCTTTCCTTTAAAATTGGATTTTTCTTTTTTCTTTTCTTTTCTTTTTTTTTTTTAATTTGATGTTTCCAAGAATGAAGAAATTGGATGTGGTAATGTTTTAATTTTGTCCTCACCCATATTCTGGTGTTAGAGCCATATGTTGAATGTGACATTAAAACCTTTCAATGTAATCAAAGCCAATTGAGAACCTTTCCCAGGGCTGAGCATAGGGGCCCTTACCTATAATCTGAGCACCTGGATGATGACACAGGAGGATCATAGGTTTGAGTCCAGCCTGGGCTACATGGTGAGACTCTATCTCAAAAAAAAACAAAAACCAGTTCCTCTGCCCAGCTTTTCCCAGGGGTGATGCAGCTTTAAAATCTAGGATTATCCTTTTACTTTGCATAAACCATTATATGAAAAAGGAACATGGTTGTTTTTTTGAAGGGTATAGAAGTCTCCCTTGGTAATCCCTGTCCACGAAGTGTGTGTGTGTCTAGGTGTGTCTGTGGTGGTAGAAGTTGAGCCCCAGGGCTTTGCACATTTTAGGCACATGCTCTACCATTGAGCTGCACCCGCACCCACATGTGAATACCCTTCCAGAGCTTTCTGCCTGGAGTCGGGGCGGTAGCAGCTGCAGGAGAGAGAAATGTGGCTTTGTTTGATGGAAGAGAGAAGGGGCCCCAAGGGGAGATTCTTGGGTAAGGCATGGGAGTCCCGAGGCAAGTCAGCCAGGCATGGCTGCTCCACAGTGTTAGAGCCCCTGGTGTCCATCTTGAGAACTGCGGCAGAGACGGTGGATTAACCTGGGGTTTCCTCTTGCATGGCCTACACTACCGGAAAGGAAGAGAGGTGGAGCTCTTTAGCGCCTGCGCCGCCGCTGCGCCCCCCCTCACCCCCCCCGTGCTTTGGTGCTTGTTGCTAGGCGACACTACCGCCACTTCCTGTGTGACAGTGAGGGAAGTTGAGAAGTGTAGTCTATCTTCTAAGAAGCCACATGCCTACCTACTCAGTCATCTCCTAAGGAACCAGAAGAAAACGGACATGTCCACCGCCTGTGCCGCCCCGTACAGCCTGAACTCCCTGAGGCTGTTCTGTGGCTGCAGTCGGTCCCTGGGTAAGAGCTCTGTGGACACTTATCCTTAAGCTGAATCTCCCAGGGTTAATAATCAGTGGATTTGGTGAGAAGGCTTTCATAGAGAAGAATCTTCACCACATAGGCACTGCTAACCAGTCCTCCGACTCTCATAGACTAATCCATCAGATTGCCACGTGCCCCCAGGTGCTCGAAGGTGTCCACGACCTAGACAGAGATTTACATTCCTTTCCACACTCAAATGCCCCGTCTTTGCCTTTCCACGTCTGTGCTCAAGGTTTGCCTTAGAGCTAGCTCCCTGCTCATCGTGGCTCTTTGCTGAAGTCAGTGTTTTCTAGCCGGGGTAAAGAAGCCCTTGATCATATCTTCCTCCAAAGTCAGTCCCTCAGCTCTCTTGATGTCTTGATCCCTTACCCACAAACCCTTTGTGTGCTCACAACTACCACGGAGATGAGAGCAGCTCTTTGTCTATCTACATTTCCTGCACCGACCTCTCCCTCTTCCCCAGAGCTGCCACATTCTCGGCAAGCGCTTTACCACCAAGTCACACTTCCAGCCCTTGGCTTGGACGTACATCCTCAGTTTGTGTTCACGTCTCAGGTTTGACAAACGCCTTCCTCTGCACATTGACAGGTTTATTCTGTAGCCCTCTTCTCTTTTCTCTCTCCTTTGCTGCTGGGAATGTATCCCAGGGCTCCATGTGCGCGCTACGGGTGCTCTACCATTGAGTCTCATCCCCCAGCACAGGCCCTTGTTCTAAAGCCACACCCTTATCCTTTAGCAGCCCACCAAGGATGCTCATTCTGAAGAGTGAGGAAAACTAGAGATTGCAATAATTGCAGAAAGCAAGCCAGGTGTAGTGGGGGCGTGCCTGTAATCCCAGCACTTGGGACATGGAGACAGGGGTTCAGACGTTCATACGTTCAGAGTCATCCTCGACTACCTAGTGAGTTTGAAGCCACCCTGGGTTACGTGAGGCCCTGTCTCAAAAACAACCAAAAATAACCCTCTCCACACACAATAAAAACCAAATGTAGAAAATCATCAGGTTTGCTAGGGAAGTTTTGTTCCAGTTGTGTGTAAAATGGCCATCATGGGAAGCTCATATAAAAGCGAAAGAGTATTGTAGCACTGACCTAGTTAGAGAGCCGCGTCATCATCAAAATTGTTTTTCAGATGGAGTGGCCAAGCACCTGGCAGCCTTCAAGAAACAAGTAGAACAGTGCAAGGACACATCCTAGCACACTCACAGTTCCCTCTGCTCTCTACAAAACGGCTTTTCCGCGGCTCCTAACCAGACTCGACACACGCACACACACACACTGCAGAACGGAGACTCCCTTAAACAGTGCCCTCTCCGGCCATCGCCCCTAACCTGTCACCTGTGAGCCCTTCACTCTCCTGTCACAGCATATTTGACCCTTGCTCTTGGAGTTTGATGTTGAGTGACAGATCTCTCCATCCCTATTCCATCCCCGTCTGGGAATTTTCAGGGAGCTTCCTAAGAAATCAGATGTGGGAAATGTACTCTTTGAGGCCCTAATGTCTCAACGCTACCATCGAATCTGGAACCTCACAAGCTTCGGAATGAGGGTTCTATTATCTGGAACGAGGTTCTATTATCTGGAGACATTTAAGAATATCTCTGTGCTGGGATCCAATCCAGGACCCTGCAGATGCTAAGCAGGTGCGTTGTCGCGCTCTACCCCAGCCACAAGTGTTTGTGTGATTTTAAGGCCCCTCCCTTCTATTTCTACTAGGAACACATTGTCCCACATATCTCGAGTAAAGCATGTTCACTGCTGTCATATTTTCTGGACTGAGCACTGGTTTGTGCTGAGAAGTTGATGGATAGAGGAGAGGAAGTACATTTTCTTGCAAACTTAAATTCTGGTTGAATTTCAAGTGTCTGAGACCCTGTTTTGCAGACTCACGATGTAGCTGAGCGTGACCTTGAACCTCTTGCTTCCACCTCCCAAGTGCTGGGATCTCAGGCCTGTGCCGCCGCACCCATTTTCTGCAGTACTGGGGATTGAACCCAGGTCTTCCATACATGCTGGGCAAGCACCTTACCGTCTGAGCTGCATCCTCAACCCCCAGACAGCTGAGATCTGGATGGGGAAGGTTGCTGCTACCTTAAAGTCTCCCTCAAAACAAACACAAAACAACAACTAAGCCCCAAAGACCCTTTTTTATTCCCAGCATGCTCGAGGCCTGATTTTGATCCCTTAGCAGCACAAAACAAAAGATGCAGCTGGATGTGGTGGCGCACACCCACAGTTTCAACACTCAGGAGGCAGAGACAAATTTGAGGCCCACCTGGTCTACACTCCATGCTCTAGGACAGCCAGGGCTACATAGTGAGACTCTGCCTTCAAACAAAAACCAAAACCCAAACAAAGGAGGAAAAACTGCAAATTATTTTTCTTATAACAACCTTACAACTTAAATTATGAAAGGAAAAGTAGAGTTCAGTGCTATGGATATTGCTCTGGATGCTGTGAATGTGTTGCTCTGATTGGTTAATAAATAAAGTGCTGATTGGCCAGTAGCTAGGCAGGCAGTATAGGCAGGACAAGCAGAGAGGAGAAGTCTGGGAACAGGAAGGCTGAAAGGGCCGCCATGAGAAGCAAGATGTAAAGATACCAGTGAGCCACGAGCCATGTGGCAAGTATAGATTTATAGAAACTATAGAAATAATTTAAGATGTAAGATCTAGTTAGCAAAAAGCCTGAGCCATTGGGCCATACAGTTTTAATTAATATTAGCCTCTGTGTGTTTATTTGGATCCGAGTGGCTGCGGGCCTGGTTGGGACTGGAGAAAACTCCAGCTACAGTTCAGAACTATATAATCTAAAATAAAGCTAATAATACCTTAATTCTTTTTATCCTCATACTCACCATCTCACGGCCTCCTGGGGGCTGCTGGCTTCTCCTATTCATTGCTTCCTGAAGAGCAGCTCTGCCCACTATTCTGCATAGAATCCAGTGGATTGTCTATGTTTTACACCAGCTTCCCCCAAACAGCATAAGTGCATGAAGTTTTTACACTTGTTGTTCTTGTTCTTTTACTGATACATAGTTTAAATATTTATTTTTTAAGTCTTATGGATATTTGTGCATATCTGTGAGTAATGTATGCACGTATACTACATGCAGGTGTCTGTGGAGGTTCAAAGGGGACAATGGATCCCTGGAGCTAGAGTTCAGGCGGTGGTGAGCCACCCAGTGTGGGGGCTGGGAACTGCATTCTAGTCTTGCACAAGAGCAGTAAGTGCTCTTAACCACTGAACCTTCTCTCTAGCCCCTATTGTATATTTTTGATGCAATTTATAAATGCAACTGGATGTGCTCCATTCTTTATTGACAACATGTTCTTTTGCAAAACATTAATGGTTGTATATGGAAATTCATGCTAAAAATCCCCAATTGCTCTATTTAAAAATTTGATTATTTTGTGTATAGGGTGTTTTGCCTGCCTGTGTGTCTGTGAACCGTGTGCATACAGTGCCCTTAGAGGCCAGAAGAGGGCATAGTATTCCCTGGGACTGGAATTAAAGACAGTTGTGAACTGTCACATGGGTGTTGGGAATTGAACCTTGGTCCTCTGGAAGAGCAGCCAGAGCTTTTAACCACTGACCACCCCACCCCCAAATACTCTTGAGAATGTAAAGCAATGTTCCTAAAGAGCTTGCCCTTCCTATCCCTTCCTAGAGACAACTGAAAACATCTCTTGTCCTCAGTTCATTAAGTGTAGATTCCTGTTTTGCAAGAACTAACGACCTTTTGGGGGACAGGTTGTTTCTTACCCCGGCATCCTTCCACCTCAGGTATTTCACTTGAATGAGCCATATAGCTTTAAAAAATTATTTACTTATTTAATGTGTATGTGTGTAGGTGTTTTGCCATGTGGTTGGCAGAAGAGGGCATTGGATCCCTTGGAAGTGGGGTTGCAGACAGTTGTGAACCACCATGTGGGTAATGGGAATTGAACCTAGATCCTCTGGGAGAACAGTTGGCATTTTTTTTTTTTTTTTGAGACAGGGTTTCTCTGTGTAGTTTTGGTGCCTGTCCTGAATCTCGCTCTGTAGACCAGGCTGGCCTCGAACTCACAGAGATCTGCCTAGCTCTGCTTCCCGAGTGCTGGGATTAAAGGCGTGTGCCACCGCCACCTGGCAGCAATTGGCACTCTTAGCCACTGAGCCATCCCCTGGGCAACATAGTTCTAAGCACAGTAATTTAAGATGTTTATTCTCCAATGATTAAACTGCTGTGTGGCCCAGGGGATGAAGAATGCGGTTTTGTAAGAGGCAGAATTTTACCTAAACATTTGCCTGAATAAGTTTTCATTGTCACTCAATAGGGTCCACATTGCCAGACTGTATGTGAAACTTGTTACCAACTATGGCCTCCAACTCCTACTTCCAGTCTGGGCAGCTCTAAAACTTAGCTTTCTGCTATTACAACAAAACAGTTAGCCAGAAGTGGAACTTCAGAAACCAAAAGGCAAGATTAGTGCATTTAGAGACTTTCCCAGAACTAGGGACTGTGATGAATTAGGTCTTGGTTTTTGTTTTGGCAGGTGGTACTGTCCATGTGCTGAGTTGTCCATCATGGAGTCAGTTGTGCTAAGATCTGGAGGCCTGTTACACCCGCTGAATTGTATATACATTTTTGCCTGTAATTATCTTTTTTCTGCCCATTTCATTCTGTAGTCTGTGATTCAGGCTGGCATTGGCCAAATTATTTAAACCAGTTTCTTTGCTCCTAGAAACACTGCAGCCTAGATCCACACCTTAACCTTGACCCGTTGGACTGTGGGTGTTCACCGAATGACCCTTGCGTTTCCACTGTGACGTCTGTGTCCTGGCCTATCTCTGTGGGTGCTTTATCGTGGTTTTCATTCAGTGCTTCCTGCTGGGTCTCCTCATGGACCTGCACTTTCAGAACCTTTCATTACTCCCACACCACAGCAAACATTTCACCTTACTTAAGCAGCATGGGGAAAAGACTTCATACACATTTCTGGCAGATATTTTAAATTATTTAAAATTACTACTGAAAAAAATATCCAATGTGCCCCCCCCTGCCCCCTGGTTTTATTCCATGGAATATATGTGCAGAGAATCACTGGGGAGTCACTGAAGGTCAGTGCCAGGAGGTGGCACACTTTTCCTAAAGTAACGCATACACTGTGGTTTTGACTCGAATTAGAGCTGAGATACAACGCGAAGCAAACCAACACCAAACCAACCCAAAACCCACCTCGGATACCAGCTCGAGAGGACACCTCAGTTTAGCAGAGTTGTAATCGCATAGGAATGTGTCTGAAGCAGTTCCTGCAGGAATACCTCTGACTGACATTTCCTTGTTACAGGGTTTCACATAGACCAGATACCACAGCTCCAGGGAATGTCTAAATTTGGCCTGTCCAGTTTGCTTTCTAATTGTTACATAAACAGGGGCTAGATTAATTTGACCCATGATTTTCTACCTCACCCACACGGAAAGTTTCAATAATGACGTAAGCGATAAGTAGTCTTAGCTTGCTTTCTCTGTTGCTGTAATAAAGGGTTTCTTGGGCTCCTATGTCCACAGCACAGGGCATCATCATCAGGTGAATACATGGCTTGCTCAGCCTGCTTTCTTACGCGACTCAGGGCCACCTCTCTTCAGGATTGGGCTCTCCCAGCTCGAACATGAATCAAGTAAACGTGCTGCAGACTGATCTGGTAGAGGCGTTTTCTCAAGTCCCTCTTCCCAGGCGACTCTAGCGTGTGTCAAGGTGACTACACACTAGCCAGGACAGTGGTACACGGGTTGAAATGGGTGGGGGAAAGAAAAGGAGGAAGGTCAGGAGACAGGAAAGCCACCAGATGCAGAGAAACATGGGGACTCTAGGCTGGAGACGCAGCAAAGAGGTAGGTCAGAGGTCCTGCCTGGTTTTGCTATGATCTGGTACCAGGTTATCCTGTGTCTTGGGGATGGGTTTGGAGACTCTTCCCTATAGTGCCCATATTGTATCCCCTCCCACCAACAAGAAAGATGCTTAGTGGTCAAACCTTTTATGAGCTGCACTGTCCAGGGGCCCAGATGATGGGCAAAAGGATCTGGCCTCCAACTCCTGACCACAGCCCTTTATGAACTTTCCATTGCTGTTTCAGCATCAACAGAGGGGAGTGCCAGTGTTGCATTTCCTTCCTAAGTGGTCGTTCTAACCTGTGGTAAGAAAGGTCTGGACAAGGATATGGGTGACTCGATGTAGTTTTTTAAAAACCTAATTCTTAATTTTTTTGGGCAGAACTTTAAGAAGTATCCTTATGACCAATTTAAAATCTATGGAAACCCTTTGTCACACCTAAAGCATTTACAAATATGGGTGGTATACCATAAGCATTTGTAAATATTTAAAAAGATCTTCTTGGAAATGGCAAAAGGTGATGTCTACAGTCACAAGACCCGCGCTGGTGAGAGGCAGTGAAATCCTTAGCCAGGGCAGAGTTAGAAGGTTACTACTGCACCATCCACAAGTTGTAGCCTAATTCCTACGCTGAACAGGAAGGAGCAAGATTTTTCTCATCCACACCCATGGTAAACTGTTCCAGGCAACAAATAACTGGTCTCCCATGTGTTTGCGTTCAGGTGACAGTGAACACTTCCATCACATCAACCTTTTAAATCCCTGCCCATGTTCCTCTCTCCTTTTCATCACAGCCTTAGTTGGGACGCTGCTTTGACTATAGCGCACCCAGTGGTCAGTGGCTGGTGCCTGTGAAACTTAACTGTCTTGGATCACACTTGAACCTGGTGGAACTTTCACTGAGAATAGCTACTGGTTATTCATGAAGTCTGCTCAATGAAGAGACAGGGTAACCGGATCCTAGGAAGAGTGCCATTGGCTGAAGTTGCAGGGTGTCTGTAGTTATTGTGGGCACTTAGCTAACTTCTGCCTGGAGCCAGGCTGTAGTACAGGCTACAGACCACTGGCAAAGTCCTCCTGATGTAGCAAAGATCTTCCATGGCTGGGAACCTCAGTCCAATGGCTCAGAGGAAACAGCACATGTCTCTTTCTACTGATTTTTTTTTTTTTTTAAAGCAAGATCACACTCTGTCGTCCAAGCTGTCTTGGAACTCAATATGTAGCCCAGGCTGTCCCAAACCCATGGTGATCCCCCTGCCTTCTGACTGCTGGGATTTCAGGAATGAGCCACCCTACCTCGCTTCCTAATATTTTAGAAAATACAGGGTTGGGGAGATGGCTCAGTGGTTAAGGATCTGCATTCTGTTCCTAGGGGTTTCATGAGGACCACATGGACATGCACAAACCCCCATACACATAGATGAAAATAATAAAAATAAAGTCTTAAAAAGATTAGGAGCATCTAGACTTTAGAGATACTGCTTTTTATTGAACATGTATAAGATTCACTTTTACATTATTACAAACATTTTACAAACAAAATTTTATTTTGTTATAAAACATTTCCTGGATTTTATCACTGTATAGTTAAAACATAAGACATAAAATATATAACTATGAAGGTCATTCTCCAAGTATTAGAATACTGACGGAATCACTTCATTTTCTTTGTTCAGTGGTAAGGGCCAATCCCAGGTCTTGCACATGCTGGAAGGTTCCTTACCACTGAACTAACTATTCCTCAGCTATTAATAACACTCTTCATAAACACTGTGTAAACCTCCAAATGATTGAAATAATATAGAGGAAGGTAATCCTCAAGACATATTGTCAAAATTAATCAAATTCTTCTATAGTCTGTCTTTCCTTACATTGATTTGGCCAATGAATATTGATGAAAGAATTATGTAAGTAAGATAAACGTACACATTTGAAAATACAGAACACATTGTAAATCAAAATGTTTATCAGCTTTGTTGTATGGGGAGACCACCCTATTACCATTTAAAATAGTTTGTGTCTACATTTTCTGATGAAAATCACATGGAGAAGGGGATAAGGCCTTATTTCCAGGGTAGTCTTAACTTAGGCTTACAACAGGAATATTTCATTCTTACAGCTCAGCTACTAACATTATGCACAGTACCTAACTAAGCCAATATGTACAGTGGCCTAACGCAGTCTCAGCTACCTTACTTGATGATATTCACAGGACGTACCATCTAAGAGGACTGAATTTCTAAGACGCCCACACGAAAGACTTGTGAAGAAAACAATACAATCCCGTCATATGAGCCCACTGCCTCTCTGAGATTTGTTATAAACACCGAAGCCTACAGTTTCAGAAGTGCTTCAGTGAAATGTTTAGTGAAACTGTCAGTTTATACTTCAAAAGTGGTTTATTTAACATGGAAATCTGAGAGTCTGGAATTGCTTCTGGAGGCTTTGACATCAAAATTACCTGATTTGAAAAAAAAATGTTTTTTGAGTCAGGGTCTCATTCTGGGCTCATGATTACCATGGAGCCCAGACTGCCCTTGAACTCAAGTAGATTAGTTAACCCAGACTATCCTTGAACTCAGAGATCTTCCTGCTTCAACCTCCCAAGTGCTGGGATTACATGTGTGAGCTGGGATTTGAATCTGTTTAGAATAGAGATTAGTTGAAGATATTTTTTTTCCTTATAGTAACAAAGGAAAAGTTAAGTGGTCAACTTCTGTGGCTCACAGTTTTATACAAGAAGAACAACAACAACAAACTAAAAAAACAAAAACATACACAGAAGAATCTAGTTTGGATATTAGTCTCATGGATTTATGCTGGAATGAGATGGTGGAATTTAGGGTTGTTGGTCAAGCCTTTAATATCAAAAGTGTTAATCTACATTAGTTGTTTGCACCCAGACGCCTTTAATACCACCACAAAAGGGAGCCCACATTCAAGTGTAAACCCATGGCTCAGGGCCTTCTCTGCCTTTTCCTATGCTGCACATCCTGTAGTCTTGTCGCCAGCCTGTCGCAGGAGAAGCTCTCCTGTGCATTCTTCTGAACGAGGCAGGTTAGATGCTTCCTTCTCATCACAAGCACTAGCTCTAAAGAGTGCAGGTGGTCTTTTCTCTAGCACAGAAGAAGAAAACAATTCATCCCTACAAAATTCTACAAGATTGGACTTGAAAATTTGACCTAAATAGTAAAAAAAAATAATTTGTTAGGACTCCACTTTTCCAAGTCTATTGTTTTCTAAACTCAAGGCAGAATTAAAAGTAGACTAGGCACTCAGCAAACAGCTTTGAAACGAGCCTGTGGCTGAGAGACTGACAATAGATGCCCTGCAGAAAGTAAAGAGTAGACAGGCAGACACTCAGGCAACCCTTCACATTCTGATCAGACTGTACTGAAATATGAATGCAGGACAGACCCCAGAACACCAGGGGAGGAGAGACCAGATTTATGCTGACTATAGAGTCACAGCTAGCCTTTTCCCTTCCAACCCAATGCTTCTACTTATTAAGTGATTGTTTTATTCCTTAACAATATGTAAATCAAGATTATTTAGTAGCTGCTAAAATAAAAAAGGCATTTTCTACAATTTTCAAGATCTCTTCACATTTTTATTTTTCCTTTTTGAGATAGGGTATCATCCAGCCTCTTTTGGCCCTCAACTCCCTATGAAGCCAAGAATGTCCTCAAACATCTGGTCCTCTTGCCTCCAGCTCCACAGTGCTGGGGTGACAGATGTGCACCACCATGCACAGTTTATGTACTGGGGATTTAACCCAGGGCTTTGTGTAGTCTAGGCAAACACTCTGCCGACTCAGCCATATTCCCAGGCCCACACATTTTATTTTTCTAACTAAAAAGAAATAAAAAAAAAATTAAAAAAAAATAAAAAAAAATAAGGATTCTGTATCGTTTAAAATACCAGGACCTAATCTTGTGTAAAGGCAGAAGGCCAAGAGCGGTAGCAACTCTTTCCTGATCACAGCACCTTGTGTGTGTCTGACAAGTAGCCTCCGTGAACCAAGCTCACAATCCAGCTATTATCACCTTTAGAATCCAAACTCATTTGCAGAAGTGCCAATAAAAATATAGCCTAGAAATTATTTTTAAAATAGAAAAATATGCTTTTAAAATTGTCAGAATAAACTTCTCTAAATAATATCTCCATTATCTGCAGCTAAAACTTTCTTTGATCTTTTTGTAGCATACAATGGATCTTCTCACTTGAAAACAGACAGCATGTCTCCACCTATTTAGATAACATCTTCCCCGGTAAAGATGTTCATGCCAATATCCCAACCTCCAAATATGTCTTCACATGATTCAGAAAATTCTTTCTCTTAGTATTCAAAATATTCTAAAACAGGGTGTCATCATTTTAAAAAATTCAGCATGTACTTGTAAAAATAGTTTTGGATTAATGTAGACTACCTAATTCTTGAGATATTAAAGTAAAAATTCTAATACGAACAATTCCATTTTTTTTTCCAAACTTCCCAATCTGGATATTCAAACATTGTATAACTCGATCCTCCTTTTGTCAACATAAAAAGGTCTTGGCCAGAGTAATTCTGTGCTGACCTGCTGTGTCCTCAGACATGATTGTGCAGGTGAGGCCTGGGGCATTGCTGGCTCTGTGCCCACCTCAGGCTTCTCTTCAACAAAGGGAAGTTTAGCTCTTTGCACAGGATTACTGTCAAAACCAGAACAACTACAGCTTGTGTGCTGGGCTGTTGCCATGGATCCAGGCTAGGTGTTTGTACCCTCAAAGCTGTATCAGAGGTATGTCACAGTCTGCTCTGGCTTCAGACAGCTAAATTCCGACACAATAAGGAAAACAGTCTCTGGTCAAAGGGGCTAAAGTAGAAGAGCGCCAGTGCCCATGGCATCAGTGAAATCCAGCAGCCGCTCAGACGTCTATCCACTGACATGGTTAAGTGTCAGCTCACCAAAGTCTGGCTTCCGTAGGAAGGGTGCCATTTTCCTGATCATCTTACAGTCTTCCTTCTGATCTGACTGCTGAGACCAGCAAGTCTTAGTACTGAATGGCTAATGAATCAGCTTTTCTCCTAGCTTGCCCCTGGTAGCCTAACAGACTGGTTATTAAGCTTACTTGACTCTTACAAAGTGCTACTGGGATGTTTGCAGTGCATCTGATATTAATGACAAGGAACAATATATATCGAATATTCAAAGCTTTCTTTCCATCCGCCTATCTCAGACTTGGACACACCTGTCATTGACTTATGTCTGACACGTTTAGAATTATGCAGTATTTCAAATGTTTAAGTTATAACATTTTCCCAAAGCACGGATACTTTCTGTCAATTATTGCATAAAAGGCGTTAATACACTTAGTTCAATGCTATATGTAGTAGGACATGGAAGATTTACTTTATAGGAATTATAATTATTTTGATAGCATTTATGGGTTTAAATTGACCTCACATACTGTCTCCTAAATGTAAAATTTAAAAACAGAGCCCAGACCTGTCGAGCACCCCTGCCTTGCATTTTTACGCTGGAATACCAGAATCACACCCAGATGTGTCCAATGTCGTTTTCCTCTGAGGTGCCTCGAAAGTACAAGCAGGCTGGGTGCTGACCGGGGCCAGGCCTTCAGCTTCCATTCACATGCTCCCTCAGTGGGTAAGTGGCTTGGAATGACGGTGGGCGTGCTTTGAGAAGGAATCAGCACTGCTTTCCTCTTCACAGATGAACTGCACTTTGAAAACAGGTTAATTGTTTTTCTTACATGCTTGACCTAAACACCGTGAAACACCTATTGTCCACACCTCACGTACACAGGGAAGCTTCTGTCTGCTGGCGGCACCTTTAGCGTTTGATCACAACCTGCTCATAGGCTCCAGATCCTACCCTGAAACAGCAGTGAGGGGGTACTTTCAGAACTTGAACTGTAAAGGTGGCAACTTATGAATACATTTTCTCCCAGGTACACACACCAGGTGGTTCTTCCTCCCTCCCTCCCTCCCTCCCTCCCTCCCTCCCTCCCTCCCTCCCTCCCTCCCTCCCTCTTTTCCTCCTTCTCTTCCTCCCTCTTCTCTCTCTGTTTTTGAGACAGGGTTTCTCCCTGCAGCCCTGGCTGTTCCGGAAGACCAGGCTGGCCTTGAACTCAGAGATCCATCTGCCACCGCCTCCTGAGTGCTGGGTTTAAAGGTATATGCCGCCACCACGTGGCTCCAGGTGGTTTTTATTGAGTTTATTTCTACAAGGGTTAAAGGTTTCATACGCACAGACACACAAGACAATCCTAAGATCAGTCTCAGCTAGGGCAGGCAGTACACAGGGTTTTCATGAAGTTAATGATGAGAATCTTTAGTTATAATACTGTAGGTCTTACTATCTTTCTAGAAAGTGGAAAGCTTTTTCTTTCTGTTCTCTCTCCCCCACCCCACCTCTCCTCTCTCCCTCTGTTTCTCGACTTTCTCTTTTTCAGACAGGGTTTCAAGTAGCCTAGACTGGTTCATCCCTCTCTATGTAGCCAAGGATGGCTTTGAAGTACAGTTGCTCTTGCCTCGACCTTGAAAGTGCTGGGATTCTGAGTGACAGGGCTCAGGGTCCCTTTAGTCAATGTGCGGATGGCTCTCTGTACGGCCAGCATTGTGAATCCACCATGTGATGGAGATGGAAAGGGGAAGTGTGCTTGAAGAGCAGGGCTTTTCCTCTAGCATCTCGGTGTAGAAGACTTCCGGCTGTCCCCACCTCCACCTCTTCTCTTCTGCATACTTTAGCTGGAGACTCTTTCCTCAACTCCCCTGTGGGTACGTGATTAAGTTTTCCCACAGATGAAGAGCTATAGCAACTCCTGTCTCTCTAGCATACAAGGAATCCTTACCCTGGGTTGGTAGCTACCCCAGCAGTCCAGGAAGGTGAAATATCATTGGCCTGGCCATTGCATTCTTGGGATTCTGTGCTACAGCCTTTACTATAACATTCCAGGTACGAATTGACCTCTAACAACGAAATAGGCTAAGTAACTTAATTTGCAAGCTTTGTGAATAAACCCATTCTGAGATGGCTTATGTAAGTAATGTCCTCATCAACAGGAGACTTCCTGTGGCTCTTGTTAAGATGGATGTGCTTAGGACCTCAGTTTTGTGAAGTCAAAGGAGGAGCACGCATCTTTCTGCTGTTGTTTCTTGGTATGCCAGAAGAAAGGCTCTCACTGTGTCTTTTAGATGGCAGCTAGCTTTAAGCTTTTTTTTTTTTTTTTTAAACTCATGTTCACACAAACTTAACTCTTTTTTTTAAAGGTTTATTTCTTTATCATGTACACAGTGTTCTGCTGCATGCATACCTGCAGGCCAGAAGAGGGCACCAGATCTCATTACAGATGGTTGTGAGCCACTATGTGGTTGCTGGGAATTGAACTCAGGACCTCTGGAAGAGCAGCCAGTGCTCTTAACCACTGAGCCATCTCTCCAGTCCCCGCTTTAAGCTTTTGAATGGGTCATAATTGTACCTTTTCTCAGAAGCATCTTGGGTGATCAGGGGAACTTTAGTGGCAGTGCTGCATGGAGGTGAGGGTCTCACTGCTAAAAGTTAGCGGTAGGTACCTATTTCATTTGTCAAGGTATCAGAAATCCTTCCCCCCATACCCGATGCTTCACTCAGAGTGTACAGAGTTTAACAATCTTGGAAGCAACCACGATGGCTGGACTCATTCCTTGGAGGCCTCATATGAGGTGTCTGTGGCATGCCTTTTCCCTCCAGGTATACCATGACTACTGCATTTCTTCCCATCACACAGCAGGGATAACCCTGGCACTGTAGCCATGGCAACGAAATAAGCCAATACAGCGACAACAAGGTCAATGGGAATGAGAATGGGCTTGGGCTTTCAATACATACTTGTAGAAGGAAGGAAGGGAGGGAGGGAGGGTCCCAAGACTCTCCTGGGATTCCACCCACCATTCCCTCTTGCGTGTGCTCTTGGAAGATGCTCGGGTGTGTAGGGGGTGGGAGGCTAGCTGAAGCTGGGCTTCTGGGGGGCCGTCAGCCATGATGGGGGACACTTTCTTGGTGACGGAGCTGTCGTGAGTCACCCTTGCTTCTGTAAGCCTGGGAAGCTCACCAGCTCACCACACGGGGCGTGGGCAGAACTGTTAGTTTGCTCCATTGCACTTTATCTTAGCATAGAGAAGATGAGAATACGTCAGGATACCAGAAGGGAGTATGTATGTGTGGGGAATAACGGCTGGAGAATTTTCAAATCTGATGAAATCTATAAGCATGGATATCCAAGAAGTTCAGTGAAACTAAAACAGAATAAACACAGGGAAACACCCAGTCACATCTCACTCCAACTTCTAAGAAACCAGTGGCAGAGAGAAAATCTTTCCGGGTGCGGCGGCACCTGCCTTCTACCCCAGCACTCGGGGGGCAGAAGCAGGTGGCTCAGGAGTTAAGAGCCATCCCTGCCCTTCTAGAGGCCCTGAGTTCAGTTTCTGGCATTTACATCGGTGTCTCGCAACTGTAACTGCCCCAGGATATCCAAGGCTCTCCCCTGCCTCTGTGGATTCCCCTCCCCCCTGCCCCGGCCCCACAAGTACACACACACACACACACACACACACACACACACACACACACACACACGGAATACATACATGCAGGCACACATAAAAAAATAAATCTTTAAAACAGCCAGATATACAAATTCTGTAGGAAAAATTAAAACTAGAAATGGAAGCAGGCTTCTTGTTTGAAGAAAGTGAAATGTCGCTAAGGTCAAGAAAGGTTAAAACCAGCTTTGCTGTGAGTGGGTACACAGCTGTTCCCGGAGGTAAGGGCACTGGCTGGAAATGCTTGCTCGGTTCTGTCTAAAACAGGAGGCTAAAATTCTGTGCTAAATAGGCTTTTTATGGTCCAATTGTCAGTGCTCTATTTGTCCAACATAGTCTAGAAATACATTTAAATCAAGTAACAAACTAACACAGAATATAATGTTGAGGACGTGCAGGAAAGGAAAGAGGATTCCAGTAATAACCAACTCTTCTCAAGGGTGTACAAAGGTTGGTCCTATTTCAGCCACAGCGTAATGAAAACTGCAACCTCCGTCCTTTACTTGAGATTTTTTTTTTCCCACAGAGCCCAGGCTGGCATCAGACTCTCTATGTAGCCCAGGATGACCCTGAACGCTTGAACTTTCTGCTTTCACTTCCCAGGTGCTGCTATTTTAGGAGGGAGCTACCAGGCATGTTTACGGCACTCTTGAAGCTGACTCGAGGGCTTCGCTCTTGCTGGGCAAACCTTCTAACAACTAGCGACCTCTCCTCTCCTCGTGGATCAGGATGCTCTGTGTTTTAGCAGGGCGGTATCTGGTGGACGACATACCTGTTCGGAAGGTGGTGGCTGCCGAAGGTCGTACTTCCTCCAGGCCCCACAAACAACCTCAGGCCTTCTTCTGCAACACATAATTGGGATGCTCGTTAAGCAGACGGCCATCAGACGACTACCCAATAATATGCATATTGTAGTAATCCACATTTTACATTGATTAAACGTATCAAAGCTCTGAAAGAGACAACTGGAGCCAGCCTCCAGCTCCTTCTCGCCAACTTCCCCAAAGCTCCTTTTCTCTGAACAGGAATGACAGCTCTTTCTACAAATTTTTCATGAGGTTTAATTATTTCTATTTCCAGCCAGTTACACAACAAAACAGCCAACTGTTAAGTGTTCTCTCTTCCACCAGCTTGAGTAATTGCACCTTTCAAGTTGGTGGCATATAAATTCTCAGTTTCTGTGGAAAATTAGAGGAGACTGCGGGATTCTATTCACTACTGTTTCAAGACCACCACCCCAGCCCTCCAAACTGGGTCAGGGACCTGACACTCATAAAGTGCACGGACATGAAAGCTTTCTTTAAAATTGATCTGTTACCCCCTCTCCCCACAACTACCAGTTCTGGGGATTGAACCCAGGGCCTCATACATCCTAGGAACTGGCTGTACTACTGAACTACGCCTCCTTCAGCTGATTTCTTCACTCGTTTGTTCCTTTTCCAGCATCACCAGCCTTCGTCAGACAAGCTACAGAACTATCTTTGCTTTGGCGGACGGGGAATGATTCTACACATGGGCGGCGGCAGCCCGATCAATCGATCCTGTGGGCTGACGCAGCTGTGGACCTCAGCACCCGCCCGCATCCGTTCTCCGCACACCTTCTGCACTGGAGTCGAGGCTGAAGTCCTGACTCTGCAGGATTTTCTCCACAATGTCATCCGCATCCACTCTGGTGTCGTCAACCCGCTTCAGCTGAGACTCAACCGAATCCTGCTTCACCGGGCACCTTCGGAAAGAACCACAGTTGTTTGCACCTTTTGTACTGATGGGGTTCAGTTGCACATACAGGTGTGTTTTACACGCAGCGTCGCCGCGTGGGCGGGCACCTGGTGAGCTTCTCCGAAGCGTCTCCTTCCCTGTCAGCGGAGTCAGGGTTTGGTTCAGCTGTGGCCGGCTCCATTTCATCACACGGCTCCAGAATGCTTTCCACTCCTGTGGATGTGCTTCCCACTGAGGTATTTCTCCTGTGGCAGAACTCGGAGAAGCTGGATGACCGGGAGTGGCATGTGCTGTACCCTGCCGGAGGAAAAGTCACTTTGCATGTATTCACGCTACCAGTCACTCTACAACCGAACTTTGTCCGAATGTGTGCACATGTTGAGATGGGTGCACGTGCATGTGTGTGCAGATGCACACGTGTGAGCGTGTGTAGAGAGGCCAGTGGTTGATCGGGTATCCTCTCTCACTGGCCACCTTACTTTTGAGACAGGATCTCTCGCTGAGCTTAGGACTTGCTGATTTGGCTGTAACGGTCCCTGAAATCCTTCTGCCTTTGTCTCCCCAGTGCTTAGATTATAGGTGTGAACTGTTGTGTCCGACTTTCACGTGAGTGACTGAGCTCAGGTTCTCAGGCCTGCATGACAAGCATTTTACTGAACCATCTGTCATCTCCCAGGTGCAATGTTTTTCAGCCCACACCGGAGTAACTTCAAGTTAATTACTGAATTTTATTTTGTTTGGGACTGGCACCTGCTATACAGCAAGCAGAGGCTGGTCTTGAACTTGCCATCCTTCTCTCCCAGCCTCCCCACTGCTAGGATAACAGGTGTGTACCACCCCCACTTGGCTTCAAATCCCTTAAGAACAGTGGTTCTCAACCTGTGCCTCCCAATCCCTTTGGCAAACATCCAACTCCAAAAATATTTACATTACGGTTCATAACAGTAGCACAATTACAATTATGTAGCAACGAAAATAATTTTATGGTTGGGGGTCACCACCACTCAGGGAACGATATTATTAGGGTCACAGCATTAGGGAGGCTGAGAACCAGTGATCCCGAATAATAAGGAGTTGAATCCCACTGGGGGCCTCTACCTGAAACTTTGGACTGCTGGCTTGCATAGCTGGATGTTCTAGAATGTCCCCAGGCACCAAGTTCATCTGGAACAGAGGCACTCTTTGCTGAAAGATCTGCAACAAGTCACGTGATGTTACTATAACAAGTTAATGTCCAATTTGTACTTTAACCTGCAGATTTTATTAATTCGCAAGTTCATAATCAAGGAAAACGCATTGTAAAGTGATAGATTCCTTCAGATTGGTACAATGAAAACAACTACATCACAAGAAATGAAAGAATACTTAAATGTTTTAGTTCATTGGAAAGTTAGAGTACTTTCGTAATGTTTAGTAGCAGTGTGTCTTAAAACCATTAGGGGTGTGTGTGTGTGTGTTCAACATTTTTCTTATAAGTCAGTCCTATTCTTACAAATTCTCATGCAACTTCTGGATTTTGGCAGTTTTTCCCCCTTTATTTATTTGACAGGGTCTCATACAACCCCAGCTATCCTTAAGCCCACTCAGTAGCCGAGGCTGGCTCTCCCTGATGTCCTGAGTGCTGGGATCACAGGTGCGCAGCACCACGCCCTGACCCTTCAGTGTTTTTGTGTTTAGGTGGTGGTGAGGAGATCGTCCGTCTTCAGAATTCACCTTAGCAGTGAATCAAACGCCTTCAGTCTTCAATGTCAGCCTTCCCAGTGCTAGGCTACACAGGGGAGTGGGGGGTGAAGAGGGGCGCAATGCTGTAACCTTCAACACAGCATAGGGTGGAGCACCCAGGATGAAAGTTCGCCAGAGGCTGGAGATGGTGCAGCTGTTGACAGCCCTGGCTGCTCTTCCAGAGAACATGGGTTCAGCTCCCAGCATCCACACAGCAGCTCACAGCCACCTGTAACTCCAATTCCAGGGGAACCAATACCCTCTTTTGGCCTTTATGGGCACTGGATGCACGTGGTGCAGACAGACATACAGACAAAACACCCACACAGTAAAAATAAAATCAATAAAATCTCAGAAACAGAGTAAAAAAAGAAACTGATGGTAGTACATAGCTTGAAAGTAAATAGACAAAGCAGTCCCAACGCTGTTTCTAGAAGCTCCCTAATCACGTTCATAGACTAGATAGCAGTTACATATTTGTAGAACCAGCCTTTCTGCACAGAAGACAGGACTGTGACTGTTGAGCATTAGTGTAAACCACTTGGAAACCAGAACGGTTGTTAACCTAGGAGCAGAAGAAAAGCAGCTCAGTGTGACAGTTACCACAGCGGCAGCTGAGTGTGACAGTTACCACAGTGGCAGTTCTCTAAATGAGATAGATAGATGGTGCAACAGTCGGGCCACCAAATGCTGCCAAGCACGCACGCTACTGGTCCTCTGCAAGGACTGCTCATGTCCAGACAGACCGAAAGGGTCCCAAGTATCGACCTCTACATCAGCACTAAACCAAAGGCTAGCTCCAACAAAACCCTCGCCAGGAGACAGTTCATAGGGATTCCTGGACACCCAAAGTCTACCCCAGTGTTTGGCTCAGAACTCAGCCACCTGTCTCCTGGTTTCCAAAATGCATTCAATCCATATAAAAGTTTATTAAGCTCTTATCAAATCAGCGTCTGTGGTAGAGATGAAACGGAGGCATTGGGGACAAAGTAAATGAGATAAAGCATGCTCAGAATTCGGAGACAGAAGCAAAGAGAATACAGCGTGTCCAGCATTGACCAAAGAGGGTAGTAAGAACTCCAAAGCCAGTGCACACAATACTATAGGGGAGGAGACCTCAGAGAGGAGGCTGGCCCAGGGTCTGCCAGTGCAGGAGTGTAGCAGGAATCTTAACTGGTCTTATTAATAAAATTAAATCTGAGGCCAGTTATTGGGGTGAACGCTGGAAGATCAGAGAAGCAGAACAAGCCACAGCTACCTCACCTTGTCAGTTTCTCAGCTGGTCTTGTTTCCTCACACTGGAGGCCTCTGAGTCCTCATCCAGAATGAATCTCAGCTGAACTGCTGCTCGAAAGCCTGAAAGCTTAACCAGCCAAATGCTTCTAGTTCCTTATATACCTTTCTGCTATCTGCCATCACTCCCTGGGATTAAAGGCGTGTGTCACCATGCCTGGCTGTTTCCAATGTGGCCTTGAACTCACAGAGATCCAGAGGGATTTCTGCCTCTGGAATGCTAGAATTAAAGGTGTGAGTGCCACCATTTTCTAGCCTCTGTATCTAGTGGCTGTTCTGTTCTTTGACCCCAGATAAGTTTATTAGGGTGCACAATATTTTGGGGAACACAATACCACCACATAGGAGTCTTTTAGCTCACTGAGGAGGGAGGAGCATCGGGCACCACAAGCTTGTCGATCAGCAAATGGTTTGGTGAAGTCGGCACACAGAGCAGTGGGAGATGACCAATGGGAAAAGAGACTGAGGACTTGAGCCAGCTGATGAAGACCTTTCTGGGAGCTGAACGAAAGATACTTTCAGTGATACTTCGGTGACTTTGTGCCAGGGCAGGGCACTGCAGGCTACACGGTGTGAAGATCACTTTAGTAAGGGAGAAGCAGGTTGGGGTGAAGAGCAAAGGTTTTGATTATAAGCCAGCTGAGAGTGAGAGATGTTAGCACAAATGGGGGGATCCAACGACTGAGCAGAAGTTTGTGCCAGGTACCCGAACAGTAGGAGAAAGAGTTGGGCAAATCCGCACCGAGTATGTGAAGTTGACAATCAATAGTCATCACATTCTGACCTGTCCCTGGTCTCTGGGATATCAAGACCCAATCACAAAGAACCCAAAGTCTGGCTGGGGAGAAAAATGAGCTTATAGATTTCAGTCACGATGCGTGGCGTGAAGCGGACCTTCCCCAAAACATTTAGAAACACATATTTGTGAATGGAAAGTATTTAACACACATTTATACAACTGCATTACATTTATGAGACTGTTAAATACAGGGGTGTAGATGACATTGCCCAGAAAACTAAGTAGACGGGACCAAGCCCCCGTGGAACAGCACCCCTGGAGAGCAGTGGGGGTGTTTCTATGCCTTAGTTTCTCTTTCTGAAGGACTGGGGACTAGACACAGGGCTCAAGCACACAGGCAAGAGTTCTGTATCACAGCTACAGCTCCGGCACTTTAGGAGGACTCTTTATAATTTTTGTTATTATTTGAGAATTTCATGCATGCATATAATGTGTTTTGGTCCAATGCACCATCTCCTCCCTCCTCTCCAATTCCTCTTGTACATCTCTCTCTCTTTTCCCTACCAACTTACTGGGCTCTGTCCTTAAATTCACTGAATCCACTACTGCTGTCTCTCTGTGCATGAGTGCAGGACCATCCACTGGAGCATGGGTGGCCTCTGAGGGGCCACACCCCTGAAGGAGACTTACCACCCTCCCCCAGCAGCCACCAATTACTAACAGATTCTAGGCTTAAAAAAAAAAACAACAAACAACAAAACTCTTTACATTGATTTACCTACTTATTTAAGTGTGTGTGCACGTGTGTGTGCACGTGTGTGTACACATACAGACGCGTGGAGGCCAGGCCAGATGACAACTAGCTAACTAGCTGGTGGCAAACATCTACCAGTGGATCCTGGGGACTGAACTCGGGTCATCAGGATGGGCAGCAAGCATCTTCACTCACGGGACCACCTAGCTTGCGCAAGAAATCCCCGAGAAGCAGGAGAGGAAAGGTCATGAAGGTAGGCATCAAAGGAAGAGAAGGCTTCAAGGAAGAATTAGTGGCCGAGTCAAACGAGAACAGGAATAATGCCCAAAGGAGTCGGTGACCATGTAACTGTAGACATCAGGACAGGACACAAAGCAGATGGCGCAGGAGTTTAACAATGAACGGGTCGTGTGATGGCTAACTCTCACTGTAAATCTAGTCACCTAAGGGACCCGCATCCGGGCGTGTCTGTGAGGGTGTTTCCAGAGAGAGGGTTAACCGAAGGGTGAAAATCCACCCTGCATGTGAGCAGAGCCATTCCCTGAGCTGAGGTCCCGGACTGAAGAAGAAAGGGAAAGAGGAAGCAGCTGGACACGAGCGTTTCTTTTTCTCTGTCTCCTGACTGCGGGCGCAAGGCGACCAGATACCTCCCACCCCACCGTGACTTCCCCACAGGGATGGACTGCATCCTGGAACTGCGAGCCCAAACATCCTGCAAGTTCTTCTGTCACAGCGAGGGCAGTGATGAATTCAGGCAGTATTGCTTTCTAGAAGTTTGTCTGCATAACTGTGATGCATGCCTCAAATGTGTATTCTCTTGATGAGACTTCTCTGTCTGGCTGGCTGCTTGCATGTCTGTCTGTCTATCTATCTATCCGACACTGGACTGCTGGAGTCTAGAGGACAGCAGAAGAAAGAGAAGCTAGATATTATCCTATGAGAAGGATGACAGGGTCTACTTTATATTTTCTCAGCATAGACAGCAGCTCAGGACATTTAAGTGCCGAGGGAGGAGTTAATGGAAAGATTAACAGTATCCGTAAGATCAGCTGATCCTAAATCAAGAAATCCATACTCACAATTACTTAGGAGAAACCCTCTCGCTGCACATTTGAGAAGGTAGTGAAAATGTTAATCCTAGCGCGTCACCTTTCTTTCCAACGATACACTCTGTTCCCATTATTTGGGAGATAGAAGGAAACTCTCAGGTCCGTTCCCTGCAGCTGGGTTGGCACGCTGCCTCTCCTGCTTTTAGCAACCACGGTCGATTCTGCCTGGGCTGGAAGACTGTCTAGGGAAGTGGATCTCAAAGTGTGCTTGGGACCAGCAGCAGCAACAGAGGAGCTGAACTGGTGTGTAGCATAAAGTCCCAGGCACCCACGAGGATCCACCAAGTCCCAAACCGGCTGCCGGGGCTAGCGGGGTGTTTTAACACCCTCCACCCCCAGGTAAATCAAGTGCACAGCGAGGCTTGAGATGCAGCAAGAAGGGAAAGAGGAACAGCAGCAGCAGCAGCAGCAGAGAGCTGGCAGGAGAATGGGCCCAGCCGGAGGGGGGGGGGAAATGGGAGGGTCCCGTGTTTGTGAGGAGTGGATGCAGCTAGGGAGACAGTGTTAGCACAACATTCAGCTATCACTGTTAGTGCACAAGACCCTAGGCAAGTTAGTCCTGGTTGGAGCACCATACTAAGCGGCCCATTTCAAGTCATGAGTGCATACAAATTTACATGTGGGTGGTTGTAGGACTTTTTTTTTTCATCCATTTATTTATTTTTGTGTATGTGTGTGTGGACATGCACGTGCCACAGAATGCGTGTGGAGGTCAGGGGATAACTTGTTCTCTCCTTAAACTGTGTGGATTCCAAGAGTTAAACGCTGGTCATCAGGCTTGGCAGCAAGCACCTCGACCTGCTGAGCCATCCTGCCAGCCCCTCAGGGTTTAGGGATCTATAAGGAAATTAAATGGTATTGTTTTCCAGAAAGTAAAGGGCCAGGAAGCTATATACCCATACCTGCTATTCCGAGATGCACCTTGAGGGTCTCCCCGCCTTTTCTGTCCTCTTCCAGAGACTCGGATTCCCCAGCGATGGGTATTGACATGGACGTGGAGGGAGGCCTGTAAACAGACAGATCTTGAATCATGTGTGAGCCTGCAGGTTTGAACTAGTGTTAGAGAGTCATCGTGTGGTCAGTGCCTGGCCTGAGAAAGCTGTTTATTAGAGTTAGCCTTTTGAGGATGAAATAAAAACCATTAAATAATCCATGAGCATCTTTTAGAGCACTAAAAACCTGAATAATAAATGTGGGAGAAATTTCTACATAAAGGTTTTATTTTTATCTATGTACAAGTGTGTGCATGCACATATGTGCAGGTGTCTGCAGAGACCAAAAGAGGGTGGTGGACCCCATGGAGCTAGAGTTACAGATGATTGTGAGCCACCTGACGTGGGTGCTGGGGACTGAACTTTGGTCCTCTGTAAGAGCAGCAGGTGCTCTAAACCACTGAGTCACCTCTCCTGCCTGTGGAAAAAGGGCTTTTATACAACAAAATACTGGGAACAGAAAGAGTCTCATGGAGGTGGGGGGGAGG